AATACTAGATTCTGTGGAAGCTAGAAGAGTTTTCTATGCTGGTTATTGCTTTACAGCTTCAAATTCTTATGTGGATCTTTAAGAAATATCTTCTGTTTTTTAGCTGAGACTTTGTTTTTCCATTATTTCAAGAGCATTTGTGATTGCTTGTTGGAACATTTTTATAATAGCTACCTCAAAATCCTTGTCAGAGAATTCCAACTTCTGTAGCATCTTAACATTGGTGTCTGTTAATTGTTTTTTTTTTTTTTTTTGGATTGAGTTTTTTCCTAGTACTTCAAATGCTGAATAATTTTGGATTGTATCCTAGACATTTTGAATATTATAAGATGATAGGGCTTGTTTAAATCCTAAGAGGAATATTGGTAATTTTTGGCTTGGTAGGCAACCTTCCTAATGAGCTTTAGGAAATTTGCAATTTGCAACTCTCTTTCCTTAGGCTATAATTCTAATGGCAGATGAATTTTTGAAAAGTCTTTGCAGTGTTGTTAGGATCTGTGCCATGTGTGTGACACTCAGAGGCCAGTCGGAGATCTAGATGGTGGTGATTTCAGTTCTCAAAGCCTTTAGTATGATTTGGACCAGATACATATGTGTGTGGCTTGGGAGCCAGCTTGGGAGTTGATAAACAACTTCATGATGTTAACTTTTCTGGCTTTCCTCTCTCTGAGATCACCGCAGTACCTTCGTGTTCCATTAGGTTTTCTTTCCCTTTTGATCCTCTGATGACAAAATTGGGGCTTTAATTATCCTTCCTTGTAAGACACTTAATCTCCAAGCAGCAGGAGGACCAGGGGAGACAGTGTTAACCTCACTGTCCATTCACTGGTAGTTTCTTTTGAGCCAATTGGTTTTTCTCATATGCCTGTCTTATGTATTCTCTCCAGGTTTTATAGCTGCATTTTTAGTGGGAGAGAGAAGGTGGCGTTTGCTTATTTTGTCTTAACTGGCAACAGCTTTATAACTTAAGTTTTTCATTAAATGCCATTGACTTTTATGGCCTGTGATTTAACTTTGATTTGAATCAGGTATAATAAAACATTTAGAAGACTATGCCGTATAACAGATGCCCTATAAATATTAAAACTTATTGTGATTTTAAAATAGCACAACATTTACCATTTAACCATTTGTAAGTGTACAGTTCAGTAGTATTAAGTATATTCACATTGTTGTGAAATAGATCTCGAGAACTTTTTCGTCTTGAAAATCTGGAAGTCTAACCCGTTAAACAGCACCTTCCCTTTTCCCCTCCTGCTAGTCCCTGGTAACCACCATTCTTCTTTCTGTTTCTGTGAATTTGATTCCTTTTTCTTTTTTTAATGATAAGCACTTTGAATTAAAAAATTTTTTTTTTTAGAAATTGGGTCTTGCTCTGTTGCCCAAGCTAGACTCAAAGTCCTGGGCTCAAGTGATCCACCCCAGCCTCCCAAGCAGCTGGGATTATAGGTGTATGCTATTGCACCTGGCTAATTACTTTTGATATTTCATTTAAATGGAATCATACAGTGTTTGTCTTTTTGTGATTGGCTTATTTGACTTCACATAATGTCCTCAAGGTTCAACGATGTAGTTATGTCAGAATTTCCTATCTTTTTAAGGCTGAAGAATAATCCATTTTATGTATATACTACATTTGGTTTATCCTCTCATCCATCAATGAACTTTGGGTTGCTTTCATCTCTTGACTACTGTGAATAGTGCTGGTATGAACATGGGTGTGCAAATATCTCATAGAAATCCTACTGTCAGTTACTTTGGATTTATACCCAGAAGTGGAATCACTGGATAATATGGTAGTTCTCATTTTTTTCGAGGAAACTTCATACTGTTTTCCTTAGTAGCTGTACTGTTTTTCAGTTCCACCAACAATACACAAGGGTTCACTTTCTCTCCATCCACGATACTTGTTATTTTCTTTTTTTAAAAAAAGTAGTCATTCTAATGGGTGTGAGGTGATATCCCATTGTAGTTCTGATTTACATTTCTCTGATGATTAGTGATGTTGAACATCTTACCTTTTCATATGCTTCTTGGCCATTTGCATAGGAGGAATGTCTATTCAAGTACTTTGACCATTTTAAAATTGGATATATGATTTTTTGTTGTTGAGTTATAGGAGTTCTTTGTATGTTCTAGATATTAACCCTTTATCCAGTATATGACTGGCAGATATTGTCTTCCATTCTGTAGAAAGCCTTTTTACTCTGTTGATTGTGTCCTTTAATCACAAAAGTTTTAAGTTTGATATTTTCTCATTTGTCGCTTTTTGTCTTGGTTGCCTATGCCTTTTGTGTCTTATCCAAGAAATCACTGCCAAGTCTGATGTCATGAAACTTTCCTTATATTTTCTTCTAGTAGTGTTATAGTTATGGGTCTTATATTTAGGTCCTTAATCTATTTTGGGTTAATTTTTGTATAGGGTGAAAGATAGGGTCCAATTTCATTCTTTTGCTTTGCATGTTGCTATTCAGTTTTCCCAACACCATTTGTTGAAGTGACTGTCCTTTTTCTCTTGAGTAGTATTAGTACCTTATCAAAGATTGTTTAACCATATATGCCAGAGTTTATTTGTGGGCTGTTTATTTCACTGGTCTGTGTTTGTCTTTATGCCGGTACCACAATTTTTTGATTACTGTGGTTTTGTAACATATTTTGAAATCAGGAAGCTTGAGTCTTTGTTCTTTTTCAAAATTATTTTGAGTATTTGGAGGCCCTTGAGATACCATATGAATTTTAGGATGAATTTTTTATCTTTGTAAAAAGTGCTATTAGGATTTTGATAGGGTTTGTATTGAATCTGTAGATTATTTCAGGTAATATGGACATTGTAACAACCCAATAAATATTTTTTTGTTGGAATTAATGCACAGTGAATATTACTTGTTGTTGTTGTTGTTTGAGATAGAGTCTCACTCTTGCCCAGGCTGGAGTGCAGTGTTGTGATCATGGCTTACTGCAGCTTTGATGTCCTGAGCTTAAGCAATCCTTCCACCTCAGCCTCTCAAGCAGCTGGAACTACAGGCATGTGCCACCATGCATGGCATTTTTTTTTTTTTTTTTTTTTTTAGAATTTTTTGCCATGTTGTGCAGGCTGGCCTTGAACTACTGAGCTCAAGCGACCCACTTGCCTCCGCCTCCCAGAGTGCTGGGATTACAGGCGTGAGCCACTGTGCCTGGCAGAATGCATCTCATACTGTTTAAATTTGCAGTTGTAGGTTTTTGCTGTTGAACATTCCCAACAGCTGAGCATACTTGGAAGTTATCCTAGTGAACACTAGATCCTTCCCTTAAATCTGTTTCTAGGCTTAGAAATGTTAGCACTACTTACTCACTGTAATCTGCGAAGCAGTAATGCCAGTCACTGTTATCTTGGGAGCTCCTAGCTTCAGGATATAAGAAGGGAAATCTGTTTGACTTGTATATATTTATGTTTTGGTAAATTTTGTTTCATTTTCTTGACTTCTACTTTACTTTTCCTTGTAGAGATGTGATAATGGATCATCATGTTTCCACCATCAAGCCTCGAAGAATCCAAAACCAAAATGTCATTCACCGCTTGGAACGGCGGCGGATCAGTTCAGGCAAGGCAGGTACCCACTGGCACCAAGTCCGAGTGTTCCATCAGAATGTCTTCCCCAACTTCACAGTTGTCAACGTTGAAAAGCCTCCTTGTTTCTTGCGTAAATTCTCACCTGATGGACGCTACTTTATTGCTTTTTCTTCCGACCAGACATCTCTTGAAATCTATGAGTACCAGGGCTGCCAGGCAGCAGAGGACCTACTGCAGGGATACGAAGGAGAAATCCTGTCCAATGGCAATGACCAGCGGTCAGTCAATATCCGGGGCCGGCTCTTTGAACGCTTTTTTGTCCTGCTACACATTACCAATGTTGCGGCCAATGGTGAGCACCTGAACCGGGAGTGTAGTCTCTTCACTGATGACTGCCGGTGTGTCATCGTGGGCTCAGCTGCTTACCTCCCAGATGAGCCTCACCCTCCATTTTTTGAGGTATATCGGAACAGTGAGTCAGTGACTCCCAACCCACGGTCCCCTCTAGAAGATTATTCCCTGCACATCATTGACCTTCACACTGGCCGCTTATGTGATACACGCACATTCAAGTGTGACAAGGTGGTCTTGTCACACAACCAAGGGCTATACTTGTACAAAAATATCCTGGCCATCTTGTCCGTGCAACAACAGACAATCCATGTCTTCCAGGTGACTCCTGAAGGCACTTTCATTGATGTGCGGACCATTGGTCGCTTTTGCTATGAGGATGACCTGCTCACTGTGTCAGCTGTTTTCCCTGAGGTACAGCGGGACAGTCAGACAGGCATGGCCAATCCCTTTAGGGACCCTTTCATCAACTCCCTCAAACACCGGTTGCTGGTGTATTTGTGGCGCCGGGCAGAGCAGGATGGTAGCGCAATGGCCAAGAGGCGCTTCTTCCAGTATTTTGACCAACTACGGCAGCTGCGCATGTGGAAAATGCAGCTTCTGGATGAAAACCATCTGTTTATCAAGTATACTAGCGAGGATGTGGTAACACTGCGAGTCACAGACCCATCACAGGTATGAGGTGCACTCCTGCCTTTTACTTGTCCAATTTCCTTGGTAAAATGGGAAGGGTTCTCTGTTTGCTTATAGCCCACCCTGCAGAAATAGACATTTCATGGCAGGGCATGGTGGCTCATGCCTGTAGTCACAGCACTTTGGAGGTTGTGGTGGGCGGATCACAAGGTCAGGAGTTTGAGACCAGCCTGTCCAACATGGTGAAACCCTGTCTCTACTAAAAATAGAAAAATTAGCCATGCGCAGTAGTACATACCTGTAATCCCAGCTACTTGGGAGGCTGAGGCAGGAGAATCGCTTGAATCCAGGAGGCAGAGGTTGCAATGAGCCGAGATCGCGCCACTGCACCCCAGCCTGGGCGACAGAGCAAGATTCTGTCTCAAAAAAAAAAAAAAAAAGAAAGAAAGAAAGAAATATACATTTCACATAGTCTGAATCGACATCCTAGGGCTCAAGCTTAAAATCAGCTCCATTTTTCTCTGGTCATATGTATTTATCTGGACAAATGGAAGCTAAAGTTCAAGTCATTGACAGGAGGATAGTCAACTGATTACTGCCCTAACTCTTCTGCAGAGCATTTTCAGTACTCATAAGATGGAAGCCCAAATGGTATAAGGTCAAGGTTTGGACTACTTATGGATAACCTGCCTCGATTTTGTAAGACTGTGCTTATTGGTATGGCGGTTTTAGCCCTGGCAATGAGAATGAGTACACCATACAAAAAGAAAATTCTCTAAGTAACCCTACTTTCCTCCTTAAGTGGTTAATGTCTATTTACTTCTCCATAAGGTCCTATTTATAAGGTAACTAATAGGTGCAGTTTTGTGACTTTACCCTGACCTTGCCCCCATGCTGGGACATAGGTTGTAGAGCAGGTTTGAGACCATAAGGAAGCTGAAATTTATGGTCCATGAAGAGAATCATCAGGACAGCAAGTTTTAAAGGTTTTTCAGTTTTGGGGAAGAATGCCTTTCTTTAAGTAGAGGGAAGAAGCATTTCCCGAAAAGTAATAAGGTGATATAAAGAGCACAAAACTGCTAAGATTTAGGGGTTGAAACACTGTTGAAATTTGGGGTAATTTGGGCATTTGTCTTTGAAAAGCTCTCTACTTCAGTGTTGACCAAGTTAGAGAACTACCTTTCTACACCTTTGTCCGCTACTTCTCCTGTTCGCAGATTGTCTCCCTAGACACTAGTTTGGAAATTCAGAACAATCAGCAAATAGCCACAAAGTCAGATGAGTTCGATATTTCTTATTGACCTGTAGCTGATTCTACCGTTAACAGATTCTGTACAGGGCATCGTGTCCTAAAACCTCACACCAGCTACCTGTGGTAAAATATCTTCTAACATTTTCCTTCTGAATCGTAGTTTATGTGTTCTAAAAAAAAAAGTAGGGGAGTAATATGGTTAGAGATCATTTTTTGTGGGGTTTTTCTTCTTCCCTGTCAGTGATGACGTCACCCATTAAGCAATCACGGGTGAGCATCTGGTTCATCTTATGTATCATGGGATATTGCAGTGAAGTCCTTGACTTTTCTACCCTTTTGTTCTTTATTTCCCAGTCTGCCTTGGAGGAAAGGCTAATAAATGTTTGTGTAATTCTATATCCATATAATTTTGAGAGATTCTGGTGAAGCCCTGATAGGATCAAAGTATTGTCCAGGGCTATAGAACGGACATGAATCAATCTTTTATTTAGATTTGAGCTATAATTACCTTTTTATTTTGGAAGGAATAAGTTGTCTGTGACTGCTGCCTTTGAGATTATCCTTTTCTTCTTTGCTAAAAGGTGACCTAGTTTTTTCTGGTAACGACAATAAGTTGTAGCTAGAGACATAACTAGGGCTCTATGTTTTGCTAATAGAGTTTGTAACTCTAAACCTAATCTTTCTGCCCTAGTTGTCCTGCGCACTCCTCTCCCAGTTTGACAGGTTCCGGTAAGATTAATAAGTAAAAAGTACATCCAAACACAGGCCCTCGGTAATATTATGAGTATTATTCTCAGGTTACCCGCTAGCCTCTTTAATTTACACCCAAATTTAATTTGCAGGTGACTGCAAAGGCCATGTAATATAAGCTCTGAGAAGGATTACTTCCTAGTAAAACAGGTGGGTCGAATGGCTCCAGAAATTGGTAATAGAGATTTAAACTCAATCATAGGAGGCTGAAGTACTAATCCTAGCGGTCTGAGAATTTCTAGAGTCCTGTTAGAAGCTTGTAGTTAATTAACACTTCTACCTTCACTGTAACAAAAATTAGGGGTTCTTGGAGCTTCCTTGTTAGGCAGAGCAGAGCACTGGCGGTTTAAAGGAAGACGGCTAGCCACCGAGGGGCCCGGTTAGGAAAAGCAGTAACTCTGCCACCTATGCATTTGAATGCTTTCAGGTTCCCCCTCTGATCTTAATTGCTACAACTCTCAAATGTATTTTACAAATGCTCTTGGCCGAAAGAACATTTATGAAGAAAAAAGTGGAAAATGCCTATCTGGTTTTTCATTTGTTCAGCAGTACCCTGCCTGCATACAACTTGCCTGAGAAGTTTAGAACACGATGTACTTAAGGTGCCTCTCTGTATGTTAGAAATATTAAGAGGGGAAATAAGTGCCCTTAAATTGAACTTTCAACTGTACACATACAAGAGAAAATAATTTGCCAACAGGCAGCCCCAGGCTGCAAATCACTTGCTCAGCAGGAAAGAAAATTAAATCTGGCATTTTAAAAAGTGTTTTTTATCTCAGGGTGGGTTGGGGAAAAAGTAGGGGATAAACACTTGGAAAGAAAAATACCGAATTTGCACAGTTTGAAATGAAAATTTAAAACCTTTTTATACTTAACGTGCTGGCCATCTCAGTGATTCTAGCAGCACAGATACAGTGGGAAACCTGGCAACATTGAGGCTCTCTATTGATAATCCCACTGTTGCTTCCGCTTTTCCCAGAACGACTTAGAGCCATGTTTCCACCTTGGTGGTAAAGCTGAGGTGTTTGCTCGTTTTTGTTGTTGTTGTTGTTTTTGTTTTGTTTTGGAAAATTCATGCCTTGAATTTTAGCCAAGTGATAAGTTTCCTAGGCATGCCATTATACTCAGCTGTCTCATAGCTCTCTCTTCCTTCTTTTGCAGGCATCTTTCTTTGTGGTGTACAATATGGTGACGACAGAGGTGATCGCTGTGTTTGAGAATACGTCAGACGAGCTTTTGGAGCTCTTTGAGAACTTCTGTGACCTTTTTCGTAATGCCACCCTGCACAGTGAAGTCCAGTTTCCCTGCTCAGCTTCTAGCAACAATTTTGCAAGGCAGATCCAGCGCCGGTAAGCTGTTACACCAGACTCAACAGTCTTAATTTTTCTTTAGAAAAATTGGTGTTAGGCCAGTAGCTGTTTTCTCCAGGAAACCTGCTCTTACTCTGTCTGTCCACATAGCTTTAGTTAGTCTGTCTGCCTGTTGTAACCCCTGTTTCTTCCTGAACTTCTTTCTGTCTCAGCACCTGTGGAGTTATTTGTGCATTTGTCTGTGATTCTTCCTTGACTGTATGTGAACTGCAGAAATTAGAGACTGTGTCTTCATTTATTGCTTTGTCCTCAGTGGTACACTGTCAAGCACTTATATGTTTATGAAATGACTAAGGAAGTCATTTTACAACTTTTTGTTAAACATAATATGTTGAACACATGTATTTATCTTTGCTCCATCCCTAAATTCCACTAAAATGACAATAATGGAATAAGAGGTATAAACCTGTAAGAACAAAGAGAATAAGAGAGGAGATGATGGGAGACAGGACATACTAACAGTTTTAAAAGCTGAAAAGCCAATGAATGAGTGAGAACTGACTTAGCATACCTCAGAGAGCAGAAACGCAAGGCTGCAGAGCTTAGTCATCAAGAAACAAGCTGCCTCACACCAGAGAACTCTGGAAAGGGCCAGGAAGTGGGAGGTCCTAGGTGCCCCTGAAGGTACCTCTGAAAGTATCTGTGAGGTAGGCTGAAATGAGGAGGATTGGTAAAGTTC